TCGCTAGGCACTGCTGACACGTGCATGTAACAATACGCACTTGCCTGGGTGAGTGAGTTTGTGAGCGCACGGTGCATATATTATATTAGGATCTATATATGTACCTGTAATATTTGCCGACGGCACATGTGTGCTTTGCATGTATGTACGTGTGCGTGAGTATTTGCTTTGCTTTTGTATGACAAAATTTATGGCATGGCAATTTAACATTGAAAATGGCCACATCAGCAGATAAGCACTTAACACACGCGCAAAGAATTTAAAAGTACAAACAAGCTAAATGGCAGATAGTCTAAGTTTGACAGTAGCAGATTATGTAAAATGTGATAAAAATTTAGCATACATTTAGGATGCTTATGACGTGCGAGTAAATTGAGGCGAGAGTAGAATGCTGGGATTGGATTTTTTACTTTATTTGTGTGTTCAAGCCAACAATTGTTAAGACAATATTTATTATGAATTTCGTTGTCCAAAAAAAATGATATTTGTGAGAAGAGCAGAAAAAATTTTGCACGCGCTACTTGTATGATCGAATATTCAAATATTCGTAAACTAGACTTTAACGCTTATGACACTGATGATGCTCTTCGGTAAAAGGGTTTGATACAGTTTTTCAAGTTTTTGAAGTAAAAATTTAGATACAGACACTATTATACTTAAAAGTCTTAAGCCGGTTCGGCAGCTGTCGCTATATTAAGTGTTATTAAAAGATGTCCTTTTTGTCCAATTTTTTGCAAATTTCATTCTCAAAATTATCACTTATTAGCGCCTATAGCTACTTCAGTTGCTTGCGCGAATTTCCAGAATATACAAGTATATTAAACACTAGGTGGCGTTGTGGGTGAAATGCGTTTATTGTGTGTATATTGGAAGATCCTCCACCTTAAAGTTTTCTATTATTTTTTATTATCCTTCCTTCTGTTCCTGTTATAATTAAGAGCTCATACTTGGAGAGATTTTCGTAGAGGTGTCTAATAACCTATTTTTCAGAGTGAAAAAGAAAACAGACATATTTTTTTGACCCACCCTATTGTGTATATTATCCAGAGTTTTATATATTTTTAACAAATAGTCAAGTAGAGACCTGTAAAAGTAATATGGCGTTGCTTATTATGAACTTTTAATATACTTGTATCACATTATCAGCGCCATGTAGTGTGTTCATAAAACTTAATCACAATCGATGCATTAAGCTTGGAAGTTCTTTGGTGAAACAGATGGTTGGTGAAATGATTTTTAATACATTATATACTGATGAGGTAGGAATTTAAGGTGGAAGCAAAAATAAGAAAACCTACTTTATATTATATATGAGCCAATTAAGAAGCATAATTGGTTAAAGCTGTTTACTACTAAGTCGGTGCAAAGGGACTGATTCAGGTGGAATAACGGTGCAGTTTGTAGCAATATAAGGTCTTAGTATATATGAAATACTTGATTAGATTTTGTACCATAATCTTAAAGCATTGCAGCAGAAAAAAGCAAAAAAAACTAAAGCAGAAATTTATTTACAGAAATGCCTCCACGTTCCAAAAAGTCAGCTAAAGTTTTTTGAGCAAATCGTTTTCAAATGCATCTAATCGAAATCTAATTAAAAAATAAAAAAAATTTAAATAACATAAGATTCTTGCTCAAATGATTTTTATATTTATATGGGCTCTTACGTAATTGAAACGAGAATATAAATTATAATATTACTCTATTTTAATTTAATACATGTAATTAATTACATATTAAATGCGCATTTGCATAAACAATTTGAAGCGCCTAAGAGCATACAACCAATTTAATTTCAACTTTTACACACGGCATTTTTTAAACTTATATTTGCATAAAATAGCTTTTTTCAAAACAAATATTAAATATGCAAAATTTTGCTTAACCCCTTAATGTTGCAAACACACATACACATTTACATACGTGTATAGCGTGTACGTGCGAGTGTAGGAGCAGGCAACACTTTGCGATGTGAATTTTCCGCAGACATTCGCCTGCGTTGCCACAATTAAACTCACATTAAATATGCAAGCAAAAAATAAAGTAAAACAAAAATAGCCGCAAAACATGTTTAAGCGTGTACGACGTAAGTGAGTAAGTAAAGCGCCGCCAAGTTACGTATCCAATACGTAAATGTCTGTATGGACCGATGAATTGCAACTACATATACACATGTGCTACTTTTGTTGTTGTTGCTGTTGTTTCATAGGCCTTGTGTACTCAAACATTTGCCTTTAGTTAACCGCGGACATATTGTGTGTGTGTGTATGAGTATTGGCATTCAGTGAACGGAAGCGTGACTGTTGTTGTTTACATGAATGTGTTGTACACACATATGTATTTGCAGGCATTTACATATGTGTATGTGTTATTCACTCGACCAGCGCCATTGCGACTCGTCGGAGCTTATGCATATGTGTGTTGCTTGTATGTATGATTCAAGTATATTCAAGTATGTAAATATGTGTATGTGTATTTATAAAGCTATACACAACTGTTGTTTTATCATTTATTGCAGGCATTATTGCTACAGCCACTACCATGTCCTTACTCGTACACATGGACACACACCCATGCATACACGCATATGCAAATAAGCTCAAGCCTATTCTCTACTTTGTTTTTGTCACATGACAATTGTTCAACAAATGATTTTATGCCTCTTGTTGTTAGCTGTTGTTATAGCCTCATCTGCCTGTTATTGCTTTTGTTTACACAAGTGTTGGTGACAAGGGAGTTTAGTCATATGCAATAGCAGAGAGAGGAAAAGTAAAATTATTTTATGGTTGAAATGGAATTTATACGTTCTTTTATTTTAGGAAGAAGTACACATATTTAATTTAATTTATTTTATTTTACATATGTGTATTTGGGTGTCTGTTATTTCAAAATTGGGCCCTTAGAGTTTCAGTTTTTGTTCTAAAATAAGGATTCAACGTGAATAAACGCTTTGCCTTCAGATTATGTCGTGTCCAAATTATATTTATTTTCCCATGTATATAATTTTGAGACATAACTTTAACAGCGTCTAACTTGTGAAGGAATATTTTAATGAAAAAAATCATCAAGACCCTTCTGGTAGTTTAGTGTGGCAAAAGTAAAATAATTTAATTTTAATTCAAAATAAAAAGTTTATTTACGTTGGGTCCTTTTTTGCTAGGGCTAAAAATGAAACTTCAACTTAAGTTTAATATACCCTGTTCAGGGGTTTTTTAAAATTATTATTCACGAAAGTTCTAAAATCATTGATTTAACTAATGAACTATTTTTTTTTTTTACTTCAATTTACGCCGATATTTAGACTAGCATGTGCATTTCTACATACGGCGCTTCATTTCTCCAGATGTGGAAATATATAGGTATGTAAAGAATTTACTAGTCCCCTAGGTACACATTCGCTAAATGTCAATCAAAATATTTTTAATAATAATTTGTATTCAAAAATTTAAATTTTAAACTAAAAAAATTTTCAACTCTGTATATTTTCATATTTTTAATTTAATTTTGTGTTTCTTAGACAATTTAAAAGTTTTATGGCAATTAGTATAAGTTACTTTTGTTTGAAAATTATTTTTAAGTAAAGGTATATCAGAAATTTTTGAGAAATCTGATAAAACCGTTCTTTTACGTATTATCTTTAGTAACCAAACGAGTGTCAATCGAATAAAGAAACCTCCAAGTTTATTAAATTCAAGGCTTTTGTTGCATTATCGACCAATCGTATGATTTATCTGAACTTAAAAATCACTCAGTAAGTTTAAGAATGTCATATACTTGCAATATATTACACACTTAATAGTCTGATGAGGACTTTAAAATGTCATTTCCTTCCTTAATGAATGTTTATTTAAAATTTGTAAGATCAAGCACTGTGTCAAACGGTATTTTAAGCTCATATTTATGAGTGTGTGAATAAATCTTTAATACACGATATCCTTGAAACTCAAAGACCATCCAACGTTATTCATTGCAAACGGCCAGCTCAAAGTGTTGATAATTTATATGCGTATTAAGTCAAAGCAATACAGAGGCAACGAAGTGCAAATCGAAGCAATAACAATTGCAAAAAGTGTCTTAATGCCGCTTAAGAGCACTTACAAGCGGACACTTTAACGCGCACAGGCATATGCATATACATATATATGCAAATATGTAGGTGCGCGCAGTGGCAGAATTTCATGCACACCATCTGCTTTATGCGAAACTGAAAAGAGAATATTTAAATTGAATTGCATACACAGGGCGTAGCGTCCACCGAATGTGTGCGCCAGCAGCTTCTCTGGTTGTCAGGTGAGCGGAAAATTGAATATAAAGTAGAGCCGGGCTAATGAAAATAAATTTTTGACGGCCTTTGACAAAGAAAAAGCGTTGAATGCGTTAAGATTGGTTGATAGTGAGACTGATTACATTAAATATTCAAAAGTGCGTCGACTAAATTTAAATTAAGGAAACCTAATTCATATTTTGAAAGTGGTTAGTCGACAGTGTTTAAAATTATTGCGTAAATCATTTTGCCTAACTTATTTAAACTAAAAAAAAAACTTTAAGGTTTAATACATTTTAACATTTGCTTTCACAAGCCTTTTGGTTAGGTTTTGTACGTAATTATTTAGGTCTTAAATTGTGTTTTCAGTCATGGAATCGTATAATGTAATACTATTATATGAACCCATATCAGCAGTCACCTTACCGAATTGGCAAAATGTTACTCATACGTTATGGCACACCACAAGCTTACATGTTAAAGTATGCTTTATTTAAATTAATGGTAGGAAATTTTAATATAGAATAAGTAGGATGTTTTTTTAAATTTAGAGAATGCATTTATTTATTATTTAAATATTTTTAATAAAAAATCCCTTCATCCAAACACATCTTGCTCTCATATATTCAATAAGTCATTATGTGTGTAACTTTCTCACTTCCACTTGGTACTGTTTAAAAATTCATAAAATAAATGTCTTCTACACATTCACACTCTTTCAATCGCACACTGCTTTTACCTGAGCATTTGAGACCCTGATGATAGATGCCATAGAGTAGCGAACCGCAATGGTCGCAAAATGTGGGCCCACCAAATGTGAATGGTTCGAAATGATGCACTGTTTGTGGTGAATCCTGTGATGTACAGACCAATGTGATGAATTGTACAGTAATTTTTACGTTCGCAAAATGTCAAATTTTGTTATCAGATATGATAATATTTATTGAATTTTTTTTTAATATTTCGTCAAATTATTTTTATTTATTATTTAAATATTTAAATTTTTTCAGTACATTTTTAATAAATTTTTTTTATTATTTATAGAAGTATACGAAGGAGTTTTTCCAATAATATAATTATTTTAAATTTATTTTCGTTTTAATACATGTTTTTCCCACATTTCAAAATTATATGCCATATTTGTTACATTTTTTGTTTGAAATGTTTATTTTTTTTAATTTTTCATGCGGATGTAAATTTTTCCAGCCAATTACGCAACGCCCACAATTTATTTTTTGAGATTGGCGTGGTTTTTATCGTTTATTGTTTTTGAGATGTTGATGGTGTGTTGTTTGTAATTGCATAAAGTTGGCCACGACATTGATTGCGCGAATTTTTATAGTAGATAGTTTGCGTGTGCGTTTTTTTTTACAAATTGTTCAGTCAAAATAGAAAATTTTGTGAAATAACGTTTTTAAATTTTCAAAGGAGTTTTTATTTAAAATTTTTCATATAAAATTTTATAACAGGTTTATAACGGGATATTTGGTATTTTTTTCATAATGGTGTTGTTGCCATTGAAATTTGTGTTGTTGTTTATATGTTTTTTCAGTTGTTGTTTTTGTTTTTGTTAAAATTTTTTCGTTGGTGAGATGATTGTTTGTTGATGTTGGACGCACAAAACGAGACAAAACACGTGATATGTTGCAAGTTGCATGCGTCGGATTGCAGTTGATGAATTGAATGTTTTAATAGTAGTTGATGTTGTTGTGTATGCATATAGGTGAAAAACGCATACATAAAAGAAGAAGAAGAAAACATATGAGAAGTGTGAACTACAGTGTGAAAATTAATATATTTTAATAATATTATTTGAAATGAAAATTTATATAATGGACTTTTTTGGATGATTTTAAGTTAGTATGATTATTGAAACGCAACATATTCCGAAAAGTTGAACCAATATTTTAAGATTGATTACCTATATTTCTAATGTAATAAATTAGCCTTAAATGTATTAGTATTAACCGTTTTATTTCTTTTAATTAAATAGAAATATGAAAATAAAAATAGCAAACTCTGAACTCGAAACTTCACCAGTGCATTTGTAAGTAAGGTATTTTAAAAATCTACCCATGTTTAAGTCTTGAAGAAATAAATTAAATATCCCAAAAATCGCATAATTATTTATCGTAAAGAAAAGTTCTCTGTTTATACAATATCTTTAATCGATTTAAATCCGTTTTGAAAACCATATGTTATTTATATAGAAAAAAGTTTCAAAATATCTCTTATTTGAATCCAAAGCAGGGAGATATTAAATACTAGCATCAATAGGACCCAAACTTCATCTATGAACTTAAATAACACAGGATGGCATAGGATACACTATAAAGTTTATTTTTTAGAGCAGAAGTTAAGGGAGAAAAATCTTTCAGAATTATAACCCCACCGATTACTATATATTGCTATTCAAATTAAGATGTATCAAGATTTTACAGAAGATAGTTTATACAGGCGTCCCTTATAAAAATGTGTATTGTTCTATATGGAGATATTGATAACCTATGGGAAGGGAGTTCAATCGCTTATTGTTTTAACATTTAAAGTATTTACGACAGGTATGCAGAATTTTTTCATAAAAAGAAATTGAGGGTTAGTCCAAAATAAGTCTAATGTGAGCGACCTAGACGAAACTATGACAGCTTAAAGCAAACATTATTTTCTTAACATCAAAATCCATATTATCCTTAACTCAGTAACCGAAGTAGAGCATTAATTAACTGATTTAAGCAAGCCAACATAAAGCCAAATTTGAATATCAGTTTAAGCGTTTTATTACCTACAACAGTTATGTGGCCTGAGATCTGGAAACTAGTGTCAATTGAGCTTACCAACTTCGGTTGAACTGTGACCTAGTTTACCAAAACTGAGTTGAACATAGTCAAAGGGTGGAAACAGTGACATTCTGAATATTACCAGTCAGTTTCTTTTTACATTCTTCACTACGTCGCCTATGAGCTTAAGTAAAACTCGAGTTTTAACGTAAAAAATGAACACGTGCTACTTAAACTACTAACATTTTTTATAATTTATCTACAATAAGAACTCTAGCCCTGTTCCTGGGTCTTTGGCGGACCTATTTATGAACATTATGATACACGGGACCAAAGTCAACGAATAGTTAAAACATCATTAAGCGTCAGAGAACACCATGCCTACGCAAAGACAATGATGATCATAGTGGCCTTGACTATGAAAAATGCCAATGAATATTCCATAAGTGGCTATGTACTGCAAATTTCCGTACCATACTGCGGGGTTTTCTTTAAGGAATTTATAAGCATAGTGGCTGAGCTTTTAGTAAAAGTAAGAAGAGGCCTCTGCAACTAAATATATTCTGATTAATCACCAGATTATCAAGAATCAGAAATTCTTTCTAAAGGTGCTGTGGCGCTACCGAAACTGTTAACACCCTTGTGGTACATTATCATGCGAAACTTACAATTCCGAAAATTCTCTGAAGGAGAAATAATTCGTTTCTGGGAAAAAGCAAGCAAAGGAATTAAAAGAGTATTGCAGAGAAGATAAGTAAGATAGCATATGCAGGGCGTTGATCTCCACTCACTGAAAATAATTTACATATTTCCACTTGTGTGACATATGTGTGTGTGTGTGTGTGCAGCGCTGCGTAAAAGTAGAAAATTACGTATACACGCATATACTTATTTGTACAATTGGTTTATTTTTACCTTTTTGCCATGTTGTATTAAGCGAAAGTGCCGAAAGAAAATATTTTCGGCGGAAATACAATATTCGAACCACGTAGCGTTTGATGCCGAATAAACCGCATATAAAATAAAATATCTTGCACTCTCATTTTCGCAGCGAAAATACTGTCTCAACCTTCGCCTGTTTGCCACACTTCATATTTGCTAGTTTGTAGCATGCAACGAGAAATTATTTGTGCGGGTTACAGTCCTGCATTGCCTACGTGTGCGTCTGTGTACCTGTGTGAGTGCATGATTGAAGTCTGCGTAACTTTTGACAAACAAAAGTCGAAAAATATAACAAGCTATGTAGCATGAGTGTACAATATATGCAGCATGGGTATGACATTAAACATATCTCTGCATGGTAAGTGTGGGTATGTGCACACACACATACATCTGGGCATATATGATTTAATTTTTCACTGCTCATGTGAATTTTCCAAGTGACTGCGCTATTAAAATTTCGCATACAATTTTTTAAGTGGCCATGTGCTGCAAGTTTGAATTACTTAAAAAACTATGTTTAATAAAATTTTCATTCCATATTTTAAGTTAAGTTAATCACTAACAATTTTATATCTCCATTCCATATGAAATATACTTGTAGTTTCTTCTTTTTTTACATCTTTTAACTTAAGTTATCCGCTCTTGCGCCTGTACATATTCTACACGTGCGCATGATTATTGTGGCAAACTTGTGAAAAAGTAAATTCCAAATTTCAATTTCGGATGGAAATGTAAAAAAATGTAGAAGTGCAGGGTGATCCATAGGTTGAAGAGTTTTGCACCATATGCGATATAAAAATATTATATATTTACCTCGGTGACAGACTTAAGACCTGTTGTCTTAATAAGGAATATAGGATATGTATATGAAATATTGAATGTCAAAAACAAATTTAATTAGAGATGAGATTAGAAGAAAATATTATCGCAAGGCAGTGAATCCTAACCTAAAATTTAAAATACAATGTCGAATTGTTTTCTTGGTGGAACGAATGTTGTGACAAATCAGTTTCAGAAATGGGCATTAGTTTTTTATCTGTTCAGATCTTGGCATGCTAAAAATGAATGAGTAATAAACTTACTTTGTTTTTAATTTGGCAGATTTTTATTTAAGGTTTTAAAAACTAATGCTTGGGATACCGAAAGGAGGGTTCGAATAGTGCAGCGGCAAAGCATGGCAGTGTGTCATTTCCGTCCAAAGGGAATACCGATGGATTTTTGGCGGCAATCCGCCGAGTAGATGGACCATTATGAGGTTGGTAAACATGTCTGCCGAATCTTGAATTATCGCAAGAAGAACGTTTAATCGAGATACGTATGTTGGTGTTCAAGAAACATTCGCGGCTGTTGCACCGTCAATTCAGGCAAATCCAAGAGTTTCGACTTGCAACTTATCTTCGCAACTTGGAGTTAGCAGACGGTCATTGCAACGAATAATTCATGAAGACCTAACCCGGTTTTGCTACCAAGTTCAAATAACAAAAAGGTTAAACCCTTTAGATTTGCCTATTCGCCTGAAATTTTGCCAAAAAATGATTGAAATGGCTGGATAGGACAATAACTCGATAACGAAACGTGAAAACAAATTAATATCAAGAAACTCCATTTTCCGTTGACCCCCAAGGTCACTTGACCTGACTGCACCAGATTTTTTTATGGGGTTATGTCAAGCAAGAAGTGTACAAAACAAAGCACAGAAATCTGACTGAATTGAAACAGTCCTTTAAATCGATCATTGAAGCAATCCCGACTTCAACACTTCAGGCCGCAATAAATAATTTACTGATTAGGTGTCGCAAATGCGTGGCTGAGCATGAAGGTTATTTACGGTCCATAGTTTTTAAAAATAATAAATTATATAAAATAAGATAAAAATTGCTAAGCAATAAAAGAAAAATATATAAAATGCATTAATTAAAAAAAAAGCTATTACGGTTTGTTTTTGTAGCACGATTCGAGAGCCACCCTGTTTATAGATTGCACGTAGAAAACTTTCTCTTATTGAAATATGTCAAATAAAAAAATGCACTGGTGTGGTTTTGCGCTGCGTTTATCTTCCGTTTTCTGTTTGCATGCAGCTGACGCGCCACATGTGCTGCAACTGACATGTGAGTGTAAAAGTATTTGTGTGCGTGTTGACAGTTTGACAATTCTATATAATCGCACTGCGTTTTGCGGTTTTTGTTGTTTTGTATGTGTGAAAGTGTCAGCACTAAGAGATCCTGTTGCTCTTAACTCTTAAGCGAGGTGAAAATGTTTATATTAGTGTATGTATGTACTTCTGATTTCAGTGAGAGATTAAGCAGTAAAATTCCACGTCCACACTTTGTGAGAAAAAAGCGGAATTTCGGCAATATTTCAAAGAATGTGTTCTGACTAAATTTCCATTGATTTTAACTTATTTCCAGACTTATCCCATATATAAATACAGACCAACACAGCCATTAAGTGCGAGATAGAGCGAGATTAATGATTGAGAGCGTAAAGTATTTGGAAACAGTCTGCAATGACTTTCTGTTTTTTACTAGTTGGAAAGTAGTTGCGTGAACTATAGTGGTTTCAATAATTAAACGTAAAATAAGTTAAGCCTAAGTTCCTTCTTTAAAACGGTCTGCGTTAAAATGATAAAAAAGAGTATAATATGAGTGAGTGAGTGAGCTTGTGAATATTTTCAGTTTAGTGTTTAAAAAATTCTAATCTATGAAATATATCTATTTAGTGTGTAGATATAAATTAAGTTATGTACATGCATGTATAACTGTATGTGTAGGTGAATTGTATAATTTTTTCAAACGCAGCGCATTCAGAAAATGGAGAACTAACGGTATTGTTTTTATTATCTCATATGATAAATATATTGTGTATGACTATTCGTTATGACAAGAAAACAGTTTATATACCACTCATTTCAGTTATAGTTCATTATTTTTGCTAATTGCTATTTTTCACAATACTTTTGCCTTAAAGAAAATGTTCAACAAAATTTATAAATTCCTAAAAAATATTTATAGAAAGAATTAAGAGTAAGTAAGTGAATGGTATGGAATGAAAATAAAATTTACTTAACATAAAAAAACTAAATTGGAAGAAAAAATAATGTATTGTTTTATTAAAAATTGTACTTTTTTAAATATGTGTATATATACGAGGGCTGCTATATAGTTGGCTGGCCTAGGCAACACTAAGTGTTGCCAGGTGAAATCTGACATTTCCATTGGAAAGTTTGACATTTTTTAGCATAACATCACTCAGAACGTTTTGTCATTTAATCGTGAATTGTTTTATTTACAGGGAATTAAAAAATTCATCTCGGCCAAAAAATGGAATTAACTCATGAACATTTTCATGCGATAATTTTTTACAACTTTCGACGTGGATTATCACGACAAGAGTGCATCGATGAACTAAAATCTTTGTATGGCTATGAAGCACCATCCTATGGCACTGTGAAAAACTAGTACAACGAATACATCGATGCGGTACGTGAACTGATAATGCAAGACCGTCATGTAACATACCTTCAAATAGAGGCATGCCTATGCATTTCTCCCACCAGCATACATTCGATATTGCATGAACACCTGGCCGGATCTCGTTGGATCCCGCACAATTTGACAATCGCTCGAAAAAAGGCTCGTGTCGATTGGTGTAAAGAAATGCTGAAAAAATACGATCGCGGTGCTTCAAAAGACGTTTATAAGATCGTCACAGGTGACGAATCAGGGATCTATGCGTATGAGCCGGAAAAAAAACAGCAATCGACCGGACAAAAAAAAAAAAACCATTTTCGTTGATAAATATTCGTATTTTCATTATTAGGCCAGAAATATATATAGCAGCCCTCGTATAATATATATTTTTTTTAATTAATGAAAGAAACTGTTCAGGTTTTTGAAACTATGTTGAAAAAATAAATACACAATAAAATTTTATATAAAAAAAATGTGCGGAATATTGGAACGATGGAATAATAATCAAGTAAGGCCATCTCTTGGCAAGCTGCGTGATTTTTATTGCGAAATATATTCATATATAGGTATGTACATTTGTATGTCATATAGTCAAATATTACAAAAATAAATTAAATTAAAAATTCAAAAATGTGTATATTTTTTTCTTAAAGCAATTGAAAATTGTAAATAACTTATTATTATTTTAAGCCTTTTAGTTTATTAATTTTTAACATAATTGAATGTAAATATACAATTTTGTTTAAATTATAGTTTTAGTTGGAATAAATTAATTTATTGAAAATTTGTAATTTTGGTTTATAATGCATCAAAAAAGTAGAAGGAACTAATATGTTATTAAAAAAATTGCATTGTAAAATATTGTGCAAATTCTGTTATGGTTTAGGTTTTTAAAAAAAGGCTGTATAGGGAAGTGCAAATAAAAAAAAATAAATATAATTGAACATATATAACTCAAATAGTTATAAATACAATAAATTTTAAATCATAAAAATTATTATCTATTGTCTTATACTCCATACCAAATTAATATGCAAACTAAAATATTTTAATCATTTATATAATTTATAGAAAAAGAATTATAAATAAATAAAAATGTAGAAATACAGTTTTTTTGTTAATTAAAATATTTTTTGATATCAAATATTTTTTTAATGTTAAAAATGTTAAGAAAATGGATTTTTGTTGGTAATGAGATGCTTAGAAAAATTATGAAAAAAAGATTATTACTTTTTGCTAAAAATGAATAGTCTTGAAAATAAATATGTATGTTGTCTTAATAAGAAAATTATAAAATATTTAATAATATTTGTTAATAATTAACAATATTTTGTTAATAACTTGACGTAAAAAATAGCAAGCGCTTGTTTAGTTCTTTAAAAGAATATCGATAGTCTGAAAACGTTTAAGATAAATTAAAAATTTATTGAATTTAATTAATAAAATAAAATAAGTAGTTATCGTATGTTTAGTTTTTTATATTCTAAGTATTTTCATCACAAAAAATAATACTCATATATAAGCTTGTAATGCGATGCTTTCAAACGTAAACATTTTTAATCGAAATTATGATAAAAAATTTTGATTCTCATTTAAATATTTTGTTTAATAAATGAAAATATATCCATATAATCGCCGGCTTTTATTTATCGATATTCTTTTATACAAGTGCAAGCTTTTTAATATGCATTAAATTTATTAATTTTTCTTTGTTTCGTTTCGGAAAAACTTACGGAATCGATTCCTTTATCCTTGCCCGGGCATATGAACGTCACATATTCGTGACAGCGCTTGTGCACCACATACGAGCAAACTGTAAATGAGAGCAGAGAAGAAGCATGATAATAATAAGAAGTATAGTGAAACGACATGAAAAGTTAGTGATACTCAAAAAGTTGGAAATGTCGGCTTGCTTCCTGTCCTTCGACAATATTAAAATGTGGACAAAAGTTGTGCCACAAGCGTTTGTAGAACGAAGTCAGCTCATTGCTGTGACAAGTCCTAAACTGGCACAAGGAACTATTATTGCTAGGTAAGTGTATATGTATATGTATGTCTAGTTTAGAAAGTTGTTGTGTCTAGTATGTATGTATATGTTCATGAGTTTCTAAGTTAGAACACTATCCACAAGTAACTTATAGGACAAGCTCGTACTAAGCGTGTATTGCTTTAGTCCGTCAGTGATAGTTGTGGAAAAGTTTAAGTGATATCCTTCGAAACCAATACTGGCATTAACTACTTGACTTGTATAACTTTATATGTGCTTTGAGTTTTTTTATTGCTGTTTGCATTGCCCTCGACAGCACTTCTAGCAGTCATTGAGGTAGAAAATTTGCAATAAATGCATAGAACTTACCTTGACATTGAAATCCTTGTTTGCCAAAGCCCCTAGAGGTTGTAGAGGAGAAGGGAGAGAAAGAAAGTAGAAGATATGTATTAAATCATCTGTATTTGTAAATTGTTTAAAAAATTGCATTATATATTTATTTGATGTTAATAATAGTAATATGCTTAAAAACATAACTAATTAATTATTTATTATTTTAATCTTCCGACACGAATCTATTATATAACCTTAGTATATCGATACACTTAGCTTTAAAACTCGAAAAAAAAAAAAAAATTTATTGAAAATTTATTGAAATTTTTTTTTTTTTAATATTATAACTTTTTTGTCCGCTTATATTCTATATTTCCAAAAATATGGGGTTAATGCGGTAAATAAATAATTTAGCAAAAATACGCTGAAATAACTTTGATTGCAACAGATTATTCATATTGATAGTGTAGTCTCTCACTTATAGATCTGGTGTTATTTTACCTAAGAATACCAAATCGGTTTTCACAACAGTTAATAAATCTGTGGAAAGTCGGAATAGTGGTCCACTGCTGCAACCTGGGCAATTCGCGAACTAAGGGGAATCTTATCGTTTGACAACCTCCTTTCCCCCAGTAGTGAAGACATTTGACAGCCATCAACATGGTGTCCGCAAAATCGACAGTACCACCAGGTCACTTAGCGTCATAAGAGTACATCTAACTCATGGCCTAAATTAAAAAAAAAATACCCTGTAAGAGGACTATCTTTGTAGCGTTGGACTAGTCAAAAGCATGTGATCCAGTCTATCATACAACGCTACTGAAAGACCTTGCAAAATCCACGCTTCCTCCTGGCTGCGCTTTGAATTATTTAAGCGGTCGTCAATCATCCGTACAATTTCGAGATTAAAATTTTAAGCCGATAATACTTAAAGGATGGGTTGTACATGTTGGTTTCCTATCCCCACTACTATTTAATTTCTACAACTCGAAACTTTCTACACGACCAGGGTGAATTTCTATTATTTTGTACGCTGATGATTGCACGATAGTGAGGTCGATGACCTGAGTTCGAAATTAAACCGCTTTAAAAGGACACAAAACATTATCCATCGCTAACAGTGGGTTAGAGTTGCCACGTGAAACTATTGTGACCCAAGATCAACTTCATTCTGGATAAGGTAGGTTAAACAACTTCTTATACAGAATAGACCCCGACATAAAAAACGTAAGTCTTCCATGTAAACTGACCTTGCATGGAATAAACCACCTCTTTTCATGTCCCGCTAAACCCCCTCACTTTGCTCCCACTACCGCTCAGTGGTTTCGATGACACTTAATGTTTGACTTTACCCTAACAGGCTACTCTAGGCACTCTCTGCAACCACAACAAGCTTCCGGTTTCCTGGAAATAGCTCAGTAATATGGCGATCTGTCCAAATTAGCACTGAGACATTTAATTATATAAGGCCTGAGGCGCGGGAACCTCATGTTATCCATGTATAGTACTAAGCTGCCTTAAACATTTTACTGTACGTATAACTCCATCACTTTGGGGACCCCTGGCCTTAAGGTAATATGGTAGATGAATAGTAACAAAAACAGAGTACTTAGGAAACTTGGCGCTCCTAATTAGTGGTTGAGCTAAAAATTACTAACCTAGTATCAAAACTCTCCACATCTGAAACTTCGGCAGATAATCGAGTTTTGGGGTTAAATTATACTTAGAAGTAGTTCTCCATTTCAGTAGGCGATATCTTTCTGGTTCAGGTCAGCCACATTTAGGTAACAAATTACCACCAATATGTATGTATTATATATTTTTATTGCATCAATTATATGAGTTTAAGAGCTACTTTCATTTATACCATCAGTCTATGATAAACAAAGTTTAAGTTACTTGATACTTTACAAAACATAAACAGTTATGCAATAATTCGCGAAATATGGCAAGAACGCAGTAGGCTAAGACTAATAGACATACAAATACTTTGGTGCTGGCAAACAGGTGCCTGTTTGTGGCTAATAAATATATATATTCCCCTGTTATTGGGCTGACAACTTTCTGCCTCTTAAGGGGAAAATGTAAGAAAGCGTAATAATAAAGTCAAGGTCAAGTGATATAAAAATATTTTTAAAGAAAATTACAATACATAATGTAAGCGCTAACTTTCTACACCAAAAAAAATGTGGCGATTGGGTTGAGCAGCAAAGTTAAAAGTTAACGGTTATTGGCACTAAAAATTTAGTAAGTTAATTAACTTTACGACTAGCCAAGTATACAAATTAGTTGTGCTGTGCAGCAGCCAAATTTTACGTATTAAATTTGTATATTTGTATGTATGGGTGGCTCAGCGTAAAAATAGACAAATTGTCGGTCATTAGTTAAGTTCTTTGCCTCTCGCCATTTGAGTGAGGCAGTCAACCCATTTGAAGCAGTTCAAGTTGATTTCACGCCGTCCAATTGGCGCCAATTCGGGAGTGACCTTGGTGCATGAACTCGCTGCTATCTGCTTCGTTATTTCCCTTGTATTAAGTATTAAGGTTTATTGAAGCAAAATAATAAATATGTATGGAAATGTGTTGTAGAAGTATGAAATGTGGTAAGTAGACTGAGTGACACTAAAATGGATGAGTAACTGGTGGCAATACGTGTAATAAAGTTAGGGTTGTTTTTGAAAACATTGGATTTCAAGAAAGTATTTCAGTTTTAAAGAAGTCCAAAATTTGTTTGGTTTGTTCCATCATCTTTGCTAATGCGTTCACAAAACTGGTTTTAGAGAAGCCGGCGACGAAAAGGGCCATGGTATAGACAGACATATTGATAAAGGCAGCTACAGACAGTAATTATAAGCTCCGAATTATACAAGCAACAGACGACAGAGGGAAAGAGATGACTGGGAATAATTAAAGAGAATGAAGATTGCTAGCAGCCATGTTCTAGAATAGAATTATAGGCCTTTATATTCAGTGTCAAAGAGTTAAAATGTATGTAATTCTACTCAAAACAAAACAAAAACCTAGACTATTGTATATACTACAGCTAGCTTCAGACTATTTCAATTAATCTTCTTCCAGCTTGTTTTGTTACTTTTGCTGATTGCTTTAATCGTATCAGTGACGACCTTGTGGATATCAAGAAAAGAAATGGTACAAAGTTGTAAGAAAGGAATAACATTTGTAATTTTAGACGTGAAAAAGTAGCCGTGAAAAAGAAAAAAAACTGTAAAGATGTGCGCAAGGATGTCAAAAATGGCCTGAGAGGTCTTTATGAAGATAAAAATTTAATAAAACCTGAACTTATTGCCCTAGGAATGTTCACGTGATAATATATTATGATTCCTGACTTAAATGTAAGTTACAGCAGGAAAAGCTAAAAAATGGCTTTCTGCAGATTACTGAATATTAAGTTAATCAAGGTAACAGTGTGTGTGTGGTAACATGTGTGTTTCTCTATGGAGTAGAGCTATGGGTGGCTACTGTCTGATAGTGTATAATAATATTAAAAGAGAACATAATTTTGTTGGTGTAAATTTTGATAAAAGTGGGCGTGACACCGATATCTAGAATTTTTAAATTATACGTCTTATGAGACCCAAGCTAAGTCTATTAGACTGTTACAACGGGCCACATCACGTCCAGTTTTAATATAAAGGTTATTTTTTAAATTCCGATGAGTGATGTTGCTTTTTAACGAATTGTGTACAAAAGGTATTTTCACATGAAAGGTATTTTTTCAGGTATGTGGCTTAAAAAAAAAAAGCACAGTTAATTTAATGTTAGGGCACAGAATTAAGCTTTATTTAAAAGATTAGGGTTTGCCATTAGGTTTCCCAAATGATTGTGGAAAAGTGAGTACCGCGGTTGGCTACAATAAATTTGAGCCGAGGGGTACATTTTAAAACCAATTTTTGCAAAAATAGGGGCAGTATGGAGCAATAATGAGCCGAATATTGTCTTCCAAGGCGATAATCGTCTCGCACTTATCTGCGTAAACAAGCGACTTTACATAACCCCACAAAAACGTGTCAAGCCGTAAAAAATCGCACGACCTTGGAGGTCACATCACAGCCCAATGACGCGAGATAATGCGCTCATCAAAAGTTTCCTTCAATACATTGATTGTTTCGTTGGTTACACGGCATGTAGTGTCATCTTGCTGGAACTAAGGATTGTTCAAATCAAGAAAATTGAAAGACTATACTTGTAAATCAATAAGTTTGCAAATCAAGCAATTGAACCAAATTTCTTTCTTAAAAATTTCAATATATTATATATATATATGCTAAGAGTGAAGTTCCACAACTATTATAATTTTCATTTATTAATTCTACTTTTATCCTATTCAAAAATTATTTAACTAAATTTATTTCAATTGAAATGTCTGGAAATTCTCTAATATTTTGCTCCGCAATAACTTCTTTCGCTTCTGTAAGTTAGACACTTATATTCTTATCACACGGCATTTGATCATGGCAGCGGACAAAAGCGAATTGCACCTGCATTGTTCGTGGCCTCCTTTCAATTCCTCATTTGGAACATTAAATGCTGTCAGACATGCACACGAGTATATTTTTATGTAGATGTGTGTGACGTGTTTAACGCACATTTTTTCCACAATCACAGTTATCCTTTGGCAGGTTTGCCCTATGAGTGCGCATACATTGTATTGGTTTCACATGGTACAAGTGTGCTCCGACAGACTCAGCCGCCATTAACACCTTTTAAAAACCTGACACTCGTTTACATTGTCTGCTTAGCTGAAAGCTTGGCACTTAGTGAATGTGCTAGTCACAGGACTTCATGTACGAGAGCCAACGACAGATTAGAGTGTGCTAAAGGTACAAATATACATATATATGTTTATACATTCTATAATATATGTACATATATATATATATATATTTATAAAAAGTTGCTACATATCCAGATTTATTTATATATTTACTCTCAATTATACATCTATATAATATTATATCTGTATATATGTGTTTATGCATCCATTCTTTTCATTCCTCTCAAAATTTTGTGTATGTCTTACTCTCGCTATCCTTCCATCTGCTCTTCAA